TACTTATTTAAAAAATATAATTTATTTTTATTTAACTTTATTTTAACCAAAACTTAGATATTTTGGTAAAAGTACAAATTCTTTTTTAGTTATTTTAAATCAGTGAAATTAAAATATAAGATTTTATAATCTTTTAATTGATTATTTACTCAAACTGTTCAAATTCATATTTCATTTATATTATGAGTTCAAGTCGAATTATATCTTAAAATTAACTTATAAATATGATAAATACCTCACCGACTATTTTTTTAGTTAAAAATCATCTTATGTAACCTATATAAGAGAATATTTTCTTTAAACTTTTACAAAAATATATTTATGAATTAATAAAATTAAAATAAATACCATTATATAATGTATAGATCAAGTAATATAAAAGTATATAAATTATATATGTTTAAAAATATTTTACTTATAAAAATGTACATGAATATATGTATATTTAAGCACTTCTTACTAATAGAATAAAAGTTCATGTGAGAAAGTTATATATATTTTTAAGTAAAAAATTGAAAAGAAAAAGTAAACATTGTTTTAATTCAATGTCATCAAATGATTTCATTGTACAGGCAACAAAATGTTTATATGATTCTTTGAACAAAAAGATTTTTAGTTTATTAATATTAAATGAAAATAATTATTTTAAATCCAATGATGTTCCCTTCAAATATCCATATTATTTAATTTTTGTAATTAAAACTAGATCATTTAAAATTAATTTAATAATTATATGCTTAATTCTTAACTGTAAAAAACGTATTTTACATTAATTTTTAAGCCATAAAGTTTTAACTATAAATATTTGACTAAATATACTTATTTTATGTTATACTTAAAAAAGAGTTGGTTATTTTAAAATTGTATGTAAACTACAATGTCCCACAATGACTACAACTTAGTTAAATAAAATGTATTTTTTTAATTTATATAATACAATAATATAATATTTATATAATGATTATCAATAAATATTAAATAATACAATCAAAATTTTTATTTTAGAAACTTTAATTATTTATAATAATAATTTATAAAAACTATTAGTAATTTTTAAATATATTTGCACTAATTTACAGATAAAAGAACATAAACACCAAATATACTGAACCTAGAGTAAATATAAATAATTATATATTAAATGTAAAATATTTTATTTTAAACATAACTCAAAATTTTATTTTTTAAATATGTACATAAGAAGCTACATGCATATGCACATTTTATTTTAATAAAATTAATGTGTAACTCTACTTTAGCTATTTAAAAATGTTTTTAATTATAAACAATGATTAATATGATATAATAAATGAAAATTAAAAATATTTTATTATTACAATTATTTTGAACTTATTTCAAATTTGTTTAAAAAAAGTTAAGAATGAATGGACAATAGTTTAAAATAAAGAATATTGAAGTAAAATAAAAATCTGCTTGTTCCTAAATATTAAATATCACATTTTCAAAGAAATATTTTTACAGTATAATTTCATGAATACTGTTTTAAAAATACAAAGTAATAGATACAAAATTTGTATACTCATTATAAATTTTAATTTTATATTGCACTTTCATTCGTTTTTCGATTAATTTTATATTAATACAATTTATAAAGTTTTTCAAAAAAATTTATATTTAAAAAAAAACTTTCAATTTTTAAGTAATTTTATAAAATAATTCGTAAATATCTTATCTTAAATTATTTCATAGATAGTAATTTATACTGTCATTTTTAAATTGTGTTATAGATTTCTTTTACAAATGTTAATAATTGTGAAACTTATCGAAAGTATTTGTACTATATTTTTTTATACGCACAATAATTTGCGAATGAAAATTTCTGATATTCTAAATTTTTACTTTTTAATAAAATATGAAATACAAATTTTTATTTAATATATTTTGTATTTCTTTCACTACTTTATAAACAGAATTGCATATTTGTAGAAAATCAATTAATAAATTTAATTCTCAATTTGTTTCCTATTCAAATATTTTTTCTAAGTTTAAAACGAACAGTCCATTCGCTTTTGTAAATAGATATTTTATATTTACTTTGCTTATAAAATTCAGAGCACACTTTATTACAAAACTTCACAATTATCATATCAGACACCACTGATTATATGGAAAGTAGATAATTTAAGAAATATGTCCTAATTTGAAATCAATTATTTATTTAAAATTGAAAAATAAATATTTTTATAATTTTAAAATTCTAAATTCGTCAATAAATTTTTTTTTAAAGATGTTAATATTTGAATAAATTTATATAATAAAATTGAATCGTTAGATATAGTTTATTATATAATAGTAAGAATAACCTGAGATAATGTACTAATTGACAAATTTTATAAAACTTTAATTTAAATAAATAATTTTCGTCTTCTGATATAAAAGCTTGAAAATTAAATTCTTTGCTACAATAAATAATTAATAAGTAATTAAAAATTTTAAATAAGTATTCCTACAGGTTAAAAATAGAATTAATACTGTAATGTGACATATACATTTGAAGACAGTGAATCATTATTGTAATTTTTCTATATATTTATCAGACGTGATTATATAAAAACTAATTGACCTTTTAAATTAGTTCAAATTTTATTTACCAATAATTTCCTATATATTTTTTAAAGAGAATACTTAAATGTTTCTAATAATTTAAAAACTTCACTTTTCTCTTGTTTTTTATTTAAAATTAATATCACTTTGAAATATAATCAAACAAAATCCAAAGCCAGAAAATATATATGCTATCAGAAGTATTAGTCTTTTTTATAATTTATATTTGTTTGTGAAAAAACGATAATAATTAAATTTATTAATTTAATCAAATATTGTAAAAATTATAATATTATCACTAAAAAAATTATATAGATTATAAATTTTTAATGATTAATATTTTATAATTTAAACATTTTAATTAAAATTAAATTAGAAACATGCAAATTTTAAATGATATTACTTTATACTAATAAGAAATTATATTATAATGATCAAATATTAAAAACTTTCTTATTTAATATTATTAATTAAATTATTTACATAGAACATTGTTACTTTTCCACACGAATTTTGGGAATAGTGATTATAAATTTTATCAATTTCTAACTTTTTTTATGAATGCCAAACGATATAAATTGCATATGAATAACAGAAAAATTTAATAAAAAATAATTGAACCGATTATATTTAAAAAATTATATAAAAAAATCGATTCGTAACTATTATCAGTGTTTATACATATGTATATAAACCATATTAATCTCTCATTGATAATCGTTTTTATAGTTCAAATGTTACTTATTATCATTGGCAATTAATATAGTATAGTATTTAAATTTTGCATACTACATTTTATTTATTTCAGAAGTAGAATGGTTTTTACCAGAACTTATATTTGAAGAGTTTTAATAACAATTCGAAGAACTTGTAGCTTGATATCTGATAATAATTTGAAGAACCTGTAACATAAATTTTTAATAATTATTTTTAAAAAATACAAAAAGAATTACATTAAAAAGTATTGATAAGACATATTTTATTATTTTATATAAATTTATAAAAAATTTATAAAATACGTATACAGTACACGATAAACCGAACAAAGCTAAAATTAAATATTTAAATTAAAATATGAAAATTAATAAGCCATGATTATATCGTATAATACATATACAATATAAAGATTATATTTTACAAGAAATTTAGCAATATAAATTAGTTTAATAAATTTTCTTTTATGTTATTCATATTTATTCTAAAATGTAAATATACAATATTTATAAAAAGAAGTATAAATATTATACACTAATTAATGGGATTTTTATATTATTACAAATTATTTGTATATTATAATTAAATGTATTTGGTAATATTAGCAAACTTCACAAAAGCAAACTTCGTTACAAAAATTCTAATAATATAAAAATATAGAATTTCAAATAATATTTCATTGATATAGATGAATTTTTTTAAGATTTCTTTTATTGTTCTCTACAAAACATTTTTTATTTATTTGTATCAATTGCAAGAAAAGTTTATTTAATTATATTGAATTATTTGTATTTTAAAAATTTAATTATCTGTAGTAATTTCTTAGTTGAATTAATGAAATTCTATTTTAAAAATTTGGTAAATAATATTCAATTAAGTTATGTATGAACGAATATTTATTTAGTAACGTATTTATTATGCTGTCATTTCCAAGTGATGGCTATCCAAATTATTTTACTAATAAAAAATTGTTTAATAATAACTTACTGTTATGTTTTCCATACAAGGTGATATCCTTTATTATTTTCATCAAGCGTTACTGTTCATTGCCTTATTGTTTTTGACAAATGTATTTTTCATTATAGGGAAAAAAAAATTTGGATTTCTTATTGCTACATCATAATCTATTGTATATTTATGTATATCATAAATGTCACGTGCAATTATGCTTGAGTAATTTCTATTACTTATATTATCTGGAAAACCAGTATAACCATTTACATTTTTATAGGTGTGCCTTACATAATCTTCTAATAAATTTTCTATTGCGCAAACATAATTGCTTGCATTTTAAAAATAAGTTAAATTATTTACAAAACATTGAGAACTTTATAATAATAGAAATAAATTATATATACATAGAGATATTTTTAAATAAATGTATCTAGTCATCATTTTTTAATAATATTTATTTAAAATACTTAATGGCTCTAACATTTAGTTTGTGTTTTATTTATCTCTAATATTATGATATATATTTTTCAGTACTACAGATTCAATGATATCTAAATACATTTAATTTACGATGATAAGATTAATCAATAATGACATACATTAAAAAAATTATAATTAAAATACATAATTATTAATATAAATATCTTTAAAATAGTGAATTAAGATAGTATTATTTAATAGTATATAATTTATTATTTATTTAATACGAATATTATAAGGACGATAATTTCGAATCTATATATTTATATTTTTTTCTTTCAGAATAAAATGGCAAAATTATTAATAGTAGCTATAACGCATACTGTAATATTAGCATTATACGTTTTTACTATTTACTGCACTTTTTCAGTGCTGAAATTACCAAACTTTGATAAACAACAAAATAACTTTAATGTTGGTCAACTAAAATTTCTTACGGTATGGAATGTGGTATGTATTTTTTTAATATATCAATTAAAAATTATAAACAATATTAAAAAAAACAATAGCTATAACATTTGGTTACAAATCCATTGAAAATATCTCCATTTTTATTCAACTTTTAATATAAATATATTTATAAATTTTAATCATTAATATTCAAATTGGAAAGAAACTTTTTCAAATATTAGTCTCCAAAGAAAGTTCAGAATTACTTATTTTTCCGTTACGACTGAAAATAAAAATGTTGTAAAGAATTAATACTTATTAAATTAACTTTTCAGTTATTAATATTTTATAAGATTCGTTTGTTTTGTTTTGTTGCATAAAAAAGTTTTACGACTGTTTATTATAATGTATAATTAAATTATATATTTGTAATAGTTGTAATATATAACGTATATTATATAATATACAAATAATTGAAATGATGTAATTTGCCTAATAAAATAATTTAATGTTACTTTTTAATATATTTTTAGGGGGATTTTAAAAACTGTATATAAACTAACGTGTTAAAATTAATTATGCTATTCAATTGTTAATATGCATTTTCTTTTATATTACAATATTTTACAATATACTTTATATTAATATATCAACTAATAAATAATATATAAATAATATTAATAAAGAAATAAATAATATATTAATATTTTATATATTACAATATTTTTAAACTAAGCTATTTTGTTTTTGTTTGGTATAATTTTATAAAATATAAGAATTAGATATGAATTAATTTAGAAATATTTCTAATTATAGTATTTCTTAAAATTTATATTTATAGAAATTTACTTGTAAACGGTATTATTACAAGTTTTGACATTTATTTATGATAATTATTAAATATTAAAAATTGAAAATTAATATAATTTTAATATATAATGTTGATTGATTGATAAATGTTGATTAATAACTTGTATACTTGTAAATATACAAATATAAGATATAATACTTTAAGTAGTACTTTCTGATACATTTAGTAATAATAATTATCAAGATGACAAGTGATTGTTATTTAAATGTTAAGGAAGAAATCGGAAGAAACGAAAAAAAAATATATTAAATGTATATATTTTATGAATATTTGACCTAAAATAGCTATTTCAAAAACCTGATAATTTTGCATATTAAAAATAATACGGGAGTTCTTAAAACCACTCAAACTCTGATTATCTGTCTTATTAATTCTAAAGGTTTGTTATACTTGGACTCAGATATTCAAGTAAGCAGAATAATCTACTTTTGTGTAAATCGGTAAAAATTATGTTTGGTAAAATGTAAGTGATTCTTCCTTAATATTGGATAGATTATAAATAATTTATGAACACAGATTATGAATACTTTTTAAATTTAATTCTGTTTGATACTTAATGATTTAATTTTTTTTACTATTATTTATTATTTATTATTTATTTATTATATTTATTAGTTAGTTTTTTTAATTTATTGCATTCATGAAATTAAATATAACCTATTAATTATTTTTACCAAAAAAAGTTGCATATTATAGTCACCTTTATAAAAGTAATTAATGTTATCAAATGAAAGCTGTGACGAGAAGAAAGTAAATAATATATTAGTTTTGGTATATCATTAGTTATCATTATAAAGTTAATATGACATTTATTAATCTTCTAAACTTATCTATAGTTCAACTACGGTCAATTTATCATAATTTTATTTTAACATAACTAATTAAGTTGAAGAGTGTTGATAAAATTAGAAATAGTAACTAAAATTTTAAAGGTATAAATATATAAAAATCACATAATGAATAGAAAGAAAGTCCGTATTCTTCGAAATTTATATATTAATTAATTTAGGTTTATAATAGGAACTAATTTTAGTTCAATGAACCATCGTGTCGTTAATATTTTTTTTAATTTTAATTAATAAATGTTTGACTTTTCTGTATGAAACTCAAAATGTTGCAATTCAATAATTCGATATACCTATAAAAAAAAATTACCGTTTTATGAGTAATTATAAAATTTCAAAAATTAAAAACATATGTACAAGTTTATAATTTTAACGTATTTAATAATGGAATACTTTTCTTATTTTTAATAGATTGCACAAACATTATTTTTCTTTACGAGTCTACTCAATGATATTTTTGGAACAAATAGTAATATTCCAAAAAAGATGCCATTTATACGAAGATATAAAGACTTCTACCATGCAAGTGTTGGATTTCCAGTGGCTATAGTAAATAATACAGATTTGTACAACTTAATTAGTCATTTTGTTCCATTTGCACGCCATATCTTCTTAAAAAATATTTAATTAAGTGTTAACTTAATTGTATAATAATATTCTAATTTATATTGTTCTCTGAGTATTGTACATGAAGAGAAATTTCTCTTATAATTAAGTTTCTCAGTAAATAACAATTTTTTCTTACACAAGAATATTCTAAAATATTTTAGCTATGGAAAATTTTTATTTATATAAAAATATTAATGTATATTATTTGTGTGTATTGGTTTTTTATTCTTAGTTTTAACACTTGGTTAAAGTAATACTGTCAGGCTTAAAGATTTTCTTTAAATCATTACATTTTTATTTAATAACATTACGTATATATAATAACACTACATTTTTATATAAAACAAAAAGAATTGCAGTTTTTACTTTGGAACTCATTTTCGATTACAATGATTTTCTATTACTGTTAGCAACGCTATGTTATGCAATTATATCTTTGTATCTATTACTCTATTAACAGTTCGAAAACTTAATTTTATTTTATCTATAGCGTCATTCAAAAGTGTAATTATTCCAATTTTGGGAAAAAAAGTCAAAATTTACATTCATATAAATTTCTTCTTTTCTACTATCACAAGAATACATCTATTCAATTAGTTGAGGACAAATATAGTGGAATATAGATATTATCAATGAAGTATCTGTTTTTATACAATAAATTTTGCAATTTTTTACACTTTCAGAAATCAAGTATCTTAAAAAAGTGCTGAAGAATGTAAACTATCTTTGAAATCGTAGATTTCTCAATTGAATGTGAAAGAATAGTTTGATTTACTTTATTGTAATAAGATTAAGATATAGTAAATTAATGTTCTCCGTACATTAGTATCAAGTATATTTAATTCTTCTATAAATTGTAAAAATTTTATTTTAGCATTTGAAATTACGTAAATTTTAAAAATAATCGAATTAATTGATCTTTGGTTGACATCGATTTAAATATATCAATTTTTATAAATGTTTTAATTTCAAATTGATCTGCACTTTCAGTTCGTTATAATAATTATTTAGCATGGAATTTGTGATTCTTTATCGAAACGAATCTTTCCAATAGGAAATTATTATCAAGATAATTGTTTTATCAATAAAAATTGTCAGCATTCAAAAATTAGAATTTTTTATTGATAATCTAATATTGAATTAAAAAATTTGTTCTTGTTTGTATTAAAAATCTAAAGCAATTTGTAAAAATTTTGAATTATATTATCTTATTTTTAGACTATTGTCTGGTGTCTTTGTTAATGGTTTAATTCTCAAAATTATGTACAGAAACATGTACATAACTTACGAGAAATAACAAACATTTTCTTGTAACCAAAACAATTTCTAGAATAGTTTTTGAATTCAAAAATGCGTTACCGCAAGGTATTAAATGAGTAAAATTTATTTATGTTTTTCGAGTACCGAATTTGTATCAGGTCAAACATAAATACCTGCGGTAAATTTTTATTAGTGTTAAATAGATTGATGAGTTTTGTTACTGTACAAATTTATGCATTATTAATATTTTATTATTGTTTATTATTGTAAATTTATAATACGTATAGGCGATTTTATATTATTTGTTAATATTAACTTCAAATTTATATTGTAATCAATAAGTATAAGTCTTTCTTCTAGTAAAATTCATTATAATTTCAGTAATTTAAATTACTAGAATAAAGCGTAAAATTTAAAATCATATAATTTAAAAGTAAACAAAGCTTAACCAATCACATTACAAATATTTTATGTATATGTTAAGATTTATAAAACTCTTTAATATTAGCTTACAACTATAAACAACTGAATTACAAAAAGTTATTTGAAACAAAAAGTATGAAAAATAAAATAACCATGAAGCAAGTCTATAATAAATTAATTAAAATAACAATAAAATTGGAGGTACACATATATTATTCAATATCGTAAGAATTTGAAGAAAATGCATGTGACTAGCATACTAAGATTCCTTGAATGCGTTAATTTGTGTTATATAGAATACAATTAGAAATGTATAGAATGTTTTAATTGTGTTTGTTACCCAATTACGGTTACTAAAACATTGGCAATAAATAAATCAGGTGAGGATATAATATTTTATTTAAAAAATTTAGACACTATTTTATGATATAAAGATTATAGCGGTCAAGTTGAGATTTTTTAAAAATGTTACTTTACATTCATTTGCTCTTATAATTTTGCGAAATAAAATTAATAAAAAAACAATGGCACATAATATGTAAAAAATTAATTTTTTTTAAATGCCGTGACATTAAGTTAATATTTCTCATATTTTTATACCATATAAAATTCTTATTGATTCATATGTTTTACAGACATTGTCGAATACGTAGCAAATACATATGTTTAAAAAAAAAACAGGTTTAAAAAAAAAACAGGTTTAAAAAAACTATTTTATATATAAATATTTTTTTAGAGGTATGACTTGGATTTGATTTATAATAAATATTATAAATATTTAATATACGAAATTAATATTTGATAGATGTTTATTATATCTAAAACTTGTCTACAATATATATTTTTATTAATTTATATAGCTATTTATATAATAATTTATTTTATATAAATTTGGAGATTTAAAAAATAATTTCATAACTGTTGTGAAGAATTGTTTGAATTGTTATTTTAATTGTCTCCTCGTTTCATAATTAAAATATGATTAATAAACAATTGATATGTACCGTATATATTTAATATATGAATATATCATCTATACATAAAAATATAAATAAGTGCATGAAATAAATAAATACATACCACTTGAAGACAAATCTATAGTTCGATTTATGTAATAAAAATTTTGTTTGGTTTAATAATTTGCATTTTAAAAATTAGGTTAAAAAGTATCTGTTCAATTTATATAAGTATAGCAAGTTTATTGATCTTACTATTATAAACAAAATTCAACAATGATACTGAAATGTCGAGTAATCAATCGAAAAATCAAATATAACTATATTACAAATTTAGTTGTGTTACGGAATACAAAAATATTGTTTATTACTATAAATACGTTAAATATGTATTTTCAAAGACCCTCAAATAGTTGTTTAACTGTATAGAAATATTGTTATCGTTTATGTTAAGTTTTATTTATTAATCTTGATTTGTTAAAGTACATATAAATTGTTGAATTTCATGTATAGTACCTAAACATTGATCCAAATGTACAAAAATTAAAAAAATTAATATAATATTGCTAATTTAAGAGTTCATTAGAGTTGACTCTGTTGCTCTTAATAATACAAATTTTTACTTTTTTTATAAAATTTTCAATAACTAGTGAATGACGTTTGGAACATTCTGGACAAAAAATTAAAATATTTATAACAAAATTAATTACAAGTATTTTCAATTTTTAAATATATTAATATAATATAAAATAATTTATATTTTCGTTATCAAACTATAAACGAAATCAGATTTTATTTTTAATGATTCAATTAGTTCCACATTGTAAAACAATATTTTTTCTCAGTTCGTAGGATTAACATTCTGGGGATTAATGTTCGTTGATCGTGAACTAGTATTACCTAAGGCCCTGGACCTATACTTTCCACGATGGCTTAATCATCTAATGCACAGCATGATAATGGTTACAACTATTTTAGAAATGCTAATGGTACCAAGACAATATCCTAAACGATCCCAAGGTTTAGGAGTACTTACGGGATTCATGCTAATTTACTTATCTTGGTATTTTTTCGAATTTTATAAATTAAGAATATTTTAAAAACCGATTTTTATTTATAAAACAAGATCGAGTTTGTAAAATATTTCAATTTTAAAATCATTGAAATTTATTATTATTTTTTAAATAATTACATTCATTTCTTTGAACATTTTATCAATCATAAAATTTATTATTAGTCTATTTATTTTTAGGATGCACTTTGTATATTATATGAATGGAATTTGGGCTTATCCTGTAATAGAAATTTTAACATGGCCTTTCAGAATTATATTTTATTTGGCTCTGTTAATGTTTGCAGCTGGTCTTTATTATGTTGGTGAATTATTGGATCAATTAATTTGGGGTGAATATTTAATTTTATTACAATCTATAATTGATTATCAGTCCATGTCATAATACTATTTGATTTTTTTAAAAAATATTTTTATTAGACAATGAAAATCGAAAATATTACAATGTGTTATAATTAAATTGTTCATTTTTTGTTGCACATAATATTTATATAACCATTTTCTTTCAAGCCTATAATTAATTAATAAAACATTTATATATATAACTGGGTCAAAACTGAAGTCGCTTGCTTCTTGGCAATAGTTTATTACTCTCCATTAAGCTCTCATCCCAGCAATTGCATTCATGGTCAATATTTTTCATTTTTATTTTATTTTTATAGTAGAGAGGAATTCCATTTCTTATGGTTTGTTAGAGAAATTCATTCTGTTTCTTAATTTTTGATACTTATATTGCGGGTGATTTCACTATTCCGCCAACAATTATTTTCAAAAATTGTATATTTCAGACAATTTAATTTGGTTAATCGACTTAATTAATTATTAATTTGCTAGTAGGTAAAAAATTACTAATAAAATTTATTTTTATGTTTAATCCAAAGTACATGAAATGAGATAAGAATTTAATTTATTATGTTTTAATCTACGAGCTGTCTATTAATAATTATTTCTTATATACTAGAATAATTTAGTTTTATCTATATTCTCTTATTTTTCAGTTTTACAATGCTTTTTCCATATTATTTTGAACATTGCATTTATTACGTATATTTCTTAAGATAATTGAAGTAAAATATTACCGTGCAAACGTATTTAAATTACTTATAATCCTTTTTTCTAATATTCCATATTTATTTTTAGATAATACTGCACAATCTGTAAAATATAGCAGTAAGAAGACGAAATAATTATTTTAATGAAAACATTTTTTTTCTTAATTATGATAAAATTGGAAGATGAAGAATTGAATATAGACATAATATTAAAAATAATATTTAAAAAGTTAACACATGAACGCATATAAAAATGAATCAATTTATAAAAAAAAATATTTTTTTTTATTGGTTATTATTCTATATAATAGAAAGTGTAATTAGTATAGATTTACGTTAGTGCATATTTTATATTATAATGTATATATTAGATAGTTTATTCATAAAAATTATCTAGTTACAACTATATAGAACATAAGATGGCATAATAAATTTTAATGATGAATAAATAATTAAAGAATCACTTAAAGACTTATTCTTTTCTTTTATTTATATTATAACTTTAGTTTTTAAAAAACTATATTATTTTACGCATTGAAGAAAAACATTAAATAAAAAATTTCTAAACTGTGATTCCTAAACATATTTATAGGTGTAATAATCACGTTCATTTAATTGCAATTTTTATATATTTTTGTACGTTTTTCGGTATAAATTTGTATAATTTTTTCTTCAGATTAAAATTTATTATTTTTTATTGTGACAATCTATTTTTATACATTTTTTATTTATTTCGTGTATATTTTTATATACAATAATCGACATTAGAAGAAATATTTTTCATAAAAATATCTTTAATATTTTTTAAATAGCAATAATTATAGTTAACTATTTTATATTTTACACTTTATAATAATAATTTATATAAACATTTTAATCTTATATAATGTATTTGTATACATATGAACATATATAGCACATTTAAGCACAGAAATTTTCTATGCTAGAGAACTGGAGTATTAGTGATTTCCTTCAAAAACACTGAAAAGCTTGTAAATAAATATATTTTAAATAATCATTTGAAACTTCATTTTTGTTTGTCACATTATTCCCATTTTTTTTATTTGTCGAAATCAAATACTGGCATATAAAAGGCTTGGTAATTTATACTAATAATGATTAGTAATTAAAACTAATTTCCAATCAAATTTTTCAAATATATGACAATTATTTGTGTTTAAATATTTGATATTATTGAAATTAATAAAAACAATATTGGAAAACATAATAGAAATGAAAGTTTCAGCAAGAACTACCAATAATTTTTTGCATATGCTATTCGATATAATTGATAGAATATAGCTATGATATTGAATACAATCAGTAAATTTTTTGGTATTCTATGATTACTTTTGCATGTACATTAGTTAAGACTACAGTAACTTTTTAATGATATGTGAAATAATAAGTTGGTTCTGTAATTGTATGTTATAAGTTATAACTTAATCTATATCTATAGTTTATATATATAATCTTAATAAGTTTTGGTTTTATTACATTATATGACCAAGATATTAAGATTTTTTCCTTTAGTTGCTATTACAAATCATTATATCAAAATTATGCAAATACATGGACTATTAATTATGAATGTTACCCCTCCTTCCTTTTTAGATGCAGATTTGAACTTCAATTTTATACACCTTTTAAAACAATATATTCAACTTTCATGTCACCCTTTTTTCACTTAATCAAATCTTTTTCAGTGCATTTCTCTTCCCTAGTTATGATTATCTTACTCGTTAATACAAACAATAACTAACCTTTGTATAAATTTCTTTTTATTTGGAGTTCAAATTTATTTCACTGTGATATATAATTATATATAATAATTTATATATAATATATTCTGAAAAAGGAAATATTATTGTTCTCTTCTATTTATAAATGTAAATAGATGTTTGAGACAAGAAAAGTATAAATAATGATCTGAATAGATGTAAAAATCCATATGTATTTTAAAAAAACATTTACTTAAAAGTCCATTGGTAACGTAACATTTCTTTTAAAAATGATTAAGTAATAAAAAATTGATTTAAAAAATCAAAAATAAATAAAAAGAATAATATAAACATATTCTTCAGTTGTTAAGTAATTTTTTGTCTTTAATATATTAATAATTAACAAAGAATTTTGTTAGAATTATAAAAAATGTAAATCAAAATGTATTCATAATATTTAAAAAAATCAATATCTATAACAATATTGAAAAGTAAATCTTACAATATTCGTAAGACTAGATAATAGGAGTCCTTAATGACAGAAAAGAGTAAGTCGTAATAATAATTTTTAAAATAATGAAAAATATTTTTTTAGTATTTTAATTGTATTAAAAAAAAAAGTTCCACATGTACATTGATTTTTCATTGCATCATTTTTAAGTACACTTATAATCTGACAATTATCGTCTTTGAAATGAGCAAATCGAATCTGCGAAAAAACTGAGATTGATGTATATATTTTTTTAATTTAAATCATTATTTAACAATTCCAGAATAGTCTTTAAATTCAAATTTAAAACATAAATAAAAGATATTGCTAATGGTTTCTCTAAAAACATTTTAGCAATTTTGTCAATTTTTAATATTTTTTTTAAATAAAAGCAATATACGGTTTTATAGATGAAAATGAGAAATAACTTGTTATGAATATAAATAAACAAATATATTAAAATTTTGTACATTTTGGGGAAAATTAATACATAAAAATTGTTATATTTATTTATGAGTATACATACAAGTACAATAATAAAAATATTAAAAAATATAAAATAAATTAATAGCTTTTTTATGCACTTAACTATTACGTTTCTATTTCATTTTAATATGCATGTACATATCAATATATATTCTTAAAATCATTTAAAATATAAGGAATTAAAACAATACATAATTTTAAATAGCAGTATTAAGTGAATATCATGAAGTATACGGGGTATTTTTTTATAAGTATATTAATTTTTATAATACCCATAGCATTTAGTAACCTCGGTTTACAAGAATGCATAAAAAAATGTAAAGGTAAGACCATTATGAATTTTCATTATAATAAAATAATATTTTTATATTAATATTGACGTAATGAAAATATTAAACGAATAAATACTAAAACAAAGAAAAATAAAAATGAAAATTTACTATAGCATTAGGAAAAACAAGTAATTATATGTTAAATCACATCCGATTGTGTAAATAATAAAATAATATAAAAAATGGTTATTAATAATCTTTTCACAAATGTGTATTAAATTTTTTTAAAAACGGTATTTGTAATCAATTAATATATTTTTTATAACTATTTATAAGTTTTGAAAAATACCATTCTCTTCTATATAATTGATTATTCTGTAATGAGAAAATGTAAGAAAAATAAAATGTTCAGAAAAAGTAATAATTATATTTTCTATCTCTTCTTTACCATATATTTTCAAAGTTAAAAAATAATTGGAAAATGATTTGTATTTGAGTTTTTGAAAATATTTATTGATTTCCAAAACAGTTAATTTAATGCATTATCATTTTTAAGTTAATTTTACCATAATATAAAAAATATAATATATTACTTTTTTAAGTAATTTTTCTATTTCATTCGAATTTTAAAGAATATGCATGGCTAACATTATAATTTACAACATAATTTAATTGCTTTAATAACATTGTAATCATCGCTAGATGAAATTTACTATATTAATTTGCAATTTGTATTACAATATAATTAAAATTCATTAAAAATGACGTTTCAATATGTTTTTGTGAATATTAAGCAATGAAATCAGTAGCACAAAAAAATTCATGTTTAAAAAAATGTGGCGATGAATATGCAAAGCGTAAGTAGATTAAATCCAAACAATTTTTTAAGCTTCTATTATACATTTTGAATATACTTTCTTTATTTTGAATTTCATAGCTCAAGGAACAAGTTTTGGATTAAATGAGTGTTTAAATATGTGTAACTGTAAGAAATATTTATTCATTCTTTATTACTTAATTGTACCATAAAATTACTTAGGATGAAATTAAATTCTTATTGTTCAGTACGCACACATATATAACATTTTTTTGAGTTTAAAATCTGGAAATAAATATGCTCATAATTTTCAGTCATTTAAAATTTTTAAATACTATTAATGCTTTATTATCAATTTTGATATATAAATAAATTGTGTAAATAGTATTGCGATCCTTATATATTAAATACTTTTTACAAAACAGATAATATTTTTATTTAAATATTTCATAATTATAAACATAAATTTACAAGTACAAGTATGTTAATAATGTTTTTAGTTGAAAAGTTTGATTAAATACATCTATTCTTGATTTTAACCTTTTCT